TCATATTAACAACTGCGTGTTCACGAGGCAGTAAATCTCTGCCTCTGCCTTCTGGCTGCGACAGACGGGTTCCTTGCTATCTACCCCTGGTATGTGGCAATGAGCGTCCTCGAGTCCTTCAGGCAACAGGGTGAGTTGAGGACACTCGACATATTGTAGAACCAGACCCTATGCTGCAGCCAAATGTTATGCCATGGAAGTCAACGGAAGGAGACAACACAGACACTCCCATTCATGCTGACTTACTCCAGGCCTGACCTGCTGTCCTTGGGGGCACTACCAGCATTAGAACAAGAGGGAACAGCAGCAGCACCAACTTCCAAAGTTAGTCAAGAAACCAGAAATAACCTAGCTACACTAACAAAGCATTCCCCTGCTGGACATCTGGTAGCTCCCAACCATGCCCATGGGGAGCCCCTTAGAAATAGTTCTGACAGCTGTCCATCCTGCTTGGCACAGCCCGTGGAGGAAAGAGAACTGTACTCAGGCGGCAGGCTCTTCACAACCCAAAATACTGCCTGGGGAGCACCCCAAACAGGGGTGGAGGGGCAGAGAATAGATGGCTGGCATCTCTTATGGGCACAACAGTGTCTGTACTCTCCGGTGGAGCAGGCTGTTCTGGGAGGCCCGTGCCTGTAAAGAACGGAATGACCATCGCATTCCCATGGGGGCTGGGTCCCTCAGTAGGGCTGCACTCACAAAATACCCTCTAGCCGTTCCCAGTTATGTTCGTTTCCTCAATGCTGCCGCTGGCAAACGTCCTGAATCAGCACATGATGGCATGACCCGGTGGAGAAGTCCCACGACAGGATCTGGGGCAAGTTTGGCCCTTTGAAAATAGGACTCTGCAATGAAGTCCATACCACAGTGCGGCCATACCACAGCTCTGCCTACAGTAGGCCAACGAACAGCTGTTCACACCGATTAACTCCTCCCCTGGAGTCTGGTTAGCATCCAACTCGCCCCAACCCCCCACAGCACATGGTGGCTGGAACGGAGAAGGCTCCCAGTGGCCCTGATATTCTGAGAAAAGAGGACAATATTGAACTTACCTTTCATGTTTAAAAAAAATCAACATGTCTCCGTATTTGCTCAACTTTACTGCTCTCCCTCCCCTGCCTTCTGACCAAACACACACAAGATTAAAGTCCACAAGAAAGGCTACAATGAGCGTAGAAAAAACGGTTTGTTTCAAGTTTGGCATTAAAACACAGGGAGGAAAACCCCTCATTAATATCATCATGATCCAAAGCTTTCCTTGGTATTGCCTTCTTTCCATTGTCGCTGGTTCAATAGCCCCTTCCTATTCAGCTAGTCACTTAGGAACATGCTCATCACTAAACATGCGCGTAAGTGCTTTGCAGAATTGCTGCCTTAAGTATGTGTATGACTTCAAGTGTCCAGACTGCCTCGTTGATTTCAATGGTGCAGGTCACAGCCTTAAAATGAAGCACATGCTAAAATGCAGTGCTGGATCTGGGCCTTTCTAGGGATAAAGAACCAAAAGGGAAACTCGAGAGAAATGAATCCAAGGAGTTTTCTGCCTTTTTTATATTTTTACATAAAAACCTTCGCAATGTTAACACCATAAAGTCAAAGACTTTTTATTTTTAATGAAAATGTGACACAGCTTTTTCCACTTCAGCCTAACTCTCCCCAACCGCTGGGATGAATGATATGTTAATTTTGTGGCACTGTTGCTCGAGGGAGAACAGTACAATCTCCCATGCTACAGTGCACTCCATTTATAATGGACACGGTTTGGATTCAATCGTTTGTTATAGTCCTCAGAAAGTCATTTCTCCAAAGCAAACATTCTATGAAATACAATTTTCTCTAATTACACCAGACAAACTTCAATCCAAAATGGACTTTTTGAGCTTTTATGGGCATCTGCTGCTTCAGTGCTAGAAGGAAAAGCTGGCAAGTGTAGAAACGGAATGGGGGGCCACAGAGATTTAATTTCCTACCGAATAACTTCCCACAAGCTGTTCAAACTTTCCATAGTTAGACCAATACTCTGAAGGTTTTGGAGATTTGCAGTGCAACACTTACAATAAGCACTGCTTCTGTTCTCACTGCCTAAGAGATCCAACAAACCTGCCCCCAGATTTATGGTTTTCTCCCTTTCCAAAACAACCCCATGTTTCCAGCTACAAAATTAATTTAAATAAACAGAGAAGAAGGGAATGGACTCGCTTGGATGGGGTGGCCGTAATTTTCAATATCTACCACTAATCTAATCGCTCACAACCCATTTCACACATTGCTCTGTCTGGCTGAATCTCCCCATTGATCTGACAAGGTGTCATGGGGAGCAATGGTTTATTTAGTAGGTTTCCCTATACAGGGGCGCCCTGTATACATTGCGGCTGGGTTCTTGACAATGACGACAGATGCTGACATGACACATACGGATTCATTTTTCCGCATAAGAAATAATGGAATAAGGGAGAGGGGGATGCATTCATGCTTACCAATCGCAGTGTTTTCTTCATCTCAACAGTGTCTTTTTTTACAAGGACAGGATATCCAGTACATCTTATACACACTGAACAGGAAATACAATCACGCAGAACCCTACCAACATTGTTCCAACACGCAGAACATTTTAATATAGTAACTACAGTGCAGTAATATAGCATAAAACAGTATTGGCGGCAGCTGGGTTTCCTTGGGCTGGCTTTTTGGTCACAGAGGTCTTTAAAAGAGGATTTCATTAGTGTTTGCTCTCCTGCATAGATCTCCGAGAAGTAAATCTCCCTGTAGCGAGCCACTGCATCAAGCACCCTGGAGAGTTTGGGAGATGGTCCACGAAAAGGCTCTTTGCTCTGGATGATTTCCATCATCTCATCCAGCAATCCAAAGAAACGGGGGAGAGTCTTTGTTGTCAGACTCTTAGCTTCCTACCCGACATCAGCATCCCTGTCTTAGCTTTCCTCAGCTATCTGATTTTGGTCCAGCTCAATCAGTTTCTCATTTGTCAGTTGCTCAAGACTCCTGTATATCCCCTTCCATCATCTCCTCAAAACCAACATCCTTCACCAACTTGACCATTTCTTGCTCAAGAACAGAATAAAACCCCAGAAAGCTGTCAACAGCATATGGCCATGCACAGCAGCTAACACGGCTCATGCACTGCAAGGTGACCTCTTCCCAGGACACATCAATGTTTTCCATGCTGTTTTAAGATTTTGTAATACTTCTACAACTATTTTACACTGGGCTCTCCTTCTGAATCAGCATGGAGAATACTTTCGGTAGGCAATAAGCCTTGAGCATGGCCAGTGGACACAAATACAATAATTTACTGTACAATAGGGGAATGTGTTCCAATTCATATTGGTCTTGATCCATGCAAATGACAGATATGTGGATCAGTTGCAACATAAATCAGAACCTATTCCCCTATTGATGAGTGGCAGCTATCCGAAGCAACAGATAAAGTGAAGATGAATCCCAGGGACACTGTATCCACTTTGAGGACTTTCCCATTTTGCCTTCCCCATTCATGACGACCAGATCAATGCCCGTCCTGCTGAGAAGGACAGACAATAAACACAACTCTTTGACTAGCCCAATCTGGTTTTGGTAAGCAACCTGGATCTGGGGGAGGCAACAAAGGCCCACAGATGCATCATTGTCTCACGATGTTCTTTCGGATTGGCAGCATGCTGAACAGCCCCTAAGCCTTCTTCAGATGTGTTTGAGGAAAGGCTGGCACATGATGGACACCTCCAGATACACACACAATATCTGCTGGAAGCCAACAAGAAAATCAGCCTAATTCCACCACAATCCCATCAACAGGTTGATGTGAAGAAATGCTACGAACAAATCCTCCCAGACAGCCCCAAAAAAGCAGCACTGGAAGACTGCATTGAAACACGAAGACATGCTGTGTCCAAAGGGTTTACTTTCCACATGCAACAATGATGCCTATTGTTAAGAGAGACAGTTCGGTTGGTATTTTAAAGTGCATATGCCCAAAGCTGACCTATTTTATGTACAGCTAAAAAAACCCACATTAATCAGTTAAATATAAATGAAAACTACTTTTTTATATACATGGCTTCTTCTTTCACTGGAAGAGAAAAGCAGAAGTGTGTTACACACAACCAGAAGACACTCCCCCAAAACATAACATTACCTTTAGCATTAAGTGCTACATAAATGGTGTCATGACTTCAGTGACATACTTTGCCTATGTGGATATTGTTAATACCACACAATGCTAGTTCTGTTACTTCTTAATCAATAATCAACTGCATGTACTCATTCAGTGTGTGCAGTTATTAAGGGAAATACACTGCATGTGACTAACTGAATGGGAATCACACATTTTGAGTGCCAGAAAATACCCTGAAATAATTAGTTCACAATTGCTTTCCACAGCCATGTTGGATTATGTTTTTGGACCCGGGTCCTGCAAATAAACGCCAGTAATCAATTCCATGTAGGCGGACATGCTCAGGACTGGCACTTAAAGCTTAGCTAAGACAGTACACATGGCTCCTCTCTTAGTAAGGTTTCCATAAAAGCATCAATCAAAGCTCTAGCATGGGATTTCAGCTTCTGTATCAATGTAATGAGCATGGCAAACTGCAAGTAATCAACAGGATATATTGATTAAATCAGCTTAACAACCTTCAGTATGACTCCAGCACCAGAGACAGCAAATACACACAGGAGAAAAGGACTTGTGTGCCATTATAAATGCGTGAACATGCAGGCATTTTAGACCCAAAAATCAAGGCACAGGAAGAGATTGTCACCTATCAACAGCCACAAATATTAGCCAGCCCACGCCTCCTTTTATCCCGGCATACTATGGAATGTAAGCATTTCACAACCTCCAACCGTTGTACCCGACTGTTACACCATACCCGCGCAGGTAAGCTCCAAGTACCCGTATAATCTCATGCAAACACACAGGACGGCATAGCCACGTCCTAGATTAAATCAAACATCCAACAAGCAAAGATGCTCCAGTGCCCTACCTTTGAGTCATAATCTTATAGGCATCTGGCAGATAACAGCGGATATTCTCCATCTGAGCAGGATCAGAGTCACAGATTTTATCATCCGTCCTGCCGTAGTTGGCGCTTTCAATCATGATGACATCTGTTCCCGGGCAGCGAAGTTCGATTGGATAGCTCTCGCAGGACAGTTCCCGCCGGACCACCGCCATAGGAACTGGGGCACGACTGAAAGCTAGAAAGGGTACAAAAAATGCATTTATCTTTAGCATGGAGAAGAGGAGTAAAAGCAGGAACACGGTTATTTGTATTGTTTGGGTATAGTGCATTAAGACCCTTTCTAAGAGTTTGGCACTGGGCAACACTTCCCTTCAACTACTCGGCCGTATGGACAGGAAGGAGACCTTGGTGTTACCCCTGAACTTATCCCTTACCGGCTGGGTGATCATGGACAAGTAATTTCATCCCTCTGTACCTCAGTTTCCCCACCTGTTAAAGAGGGATCACGATACTGACCTCCTTTGTAAGTGCTTTGAAGCCTGCTGACAGGAAAGTGCTCCAGTGGAGCTAGATGGTATGGTATTTCCTCTGGTATTACACCATCGAGAGACAACAGGCACACCAGGCCACTAGGCAAGGTGAGGCGGGAGGCTGCACAGTCCCAGGAGGGGCTGGGCTTCGGGCAGAAGGTGCAGGCCTGGGGGGCAAGAGGCATGCCACACCAGCCTCCCCCCAAAGCCCTCAGTGCCGTCCAGACCACGATGCACCTTCCCCCTACCCCTCACAATCACCCCAAGCATGCTGTATGGCACTCCTGTGGTGCTTTAAGGGGCCCAGGAATTTGGGCACTGCTGCATCCACAGTAGCAGTGGCAGCAGCTGGGAGTCCTGGGAACAATCGCCAGGCTCTAGGACCACCGCCCCTCTTGGCCCCGCAATACCCCATGGTGGACCTGCATGGGGTGGTTTAGTTATCACACAAATAGCCTTCCCAGTTTACAGCAACTTTAAACTTCAAACGGTCGTATTGCTGTGTTTAGTTACCAGCATCCACATCTCTTCACTGCTCTTGCTTAAGTGGGGAAACTTTTGAGTGAGACTTTAAATGCTGCAGCTCTGGGTGCTCTGTCAGTCTCGCAGGGCCTCTTTGTGAGGACACGGGGCTTTGCCAGTGTCCGCGGGGTTAGTCCTGCTGTGGGCGGGGGGGCTGGATTCCATGACCTCTGGAGGTCTCCTCTAGCCCTAGGACCGTATGATAACAGTTCCCTAATCACCACAACAATTCTCCCTGAAGCTCCAGTGGAAGCAGTGTTAGGCCACCAGGCAGTGCTTTTCAAAATCCCACTCCAACAGCCCTTAGAACCACCTTGTGAACTGCGTTTGTGCCCACCTGAATTTTGAACGAGTCCTACAAATGCTCCTAGAAACATGAATAGTTTGACTAGATATGGATAGCTATGACATGTATAGGAATGCAATTGGTAGTATACTTCAGCTTTGACCCTGCTATATTAGGATATAAAACAAAGCCTGTGTTTCAAGTCACACTGAATTCCTCTTGTGTTCTTGATCCAGCTTTCTCCCAGATGATCAGCAAAAGCCATGTTCTCCAGTTTTATCAATAAGAAAAGGGTTCTCCGATCTAGCACGGGAAAATATATTTTTTCCATGTCCTCACTCCTGTGTCGGCATGACCAACTGGCATGTACCAGCCCAGGATATTATTTCTATGTAGTGCTCAGTCATTGTACAAAGCCTTGTCATGAATTTGTACTTTGGCTCCAGTGAATATATCAGCATTTCCATGTCAGTAAGAGTTACCCTACAATCTGAGGTCTGCTGTTGAAACCCAGCTGTGGACTAATCCTTGTGCACTCCTGAACACGGGCTGTGCGCTCTTTCTGTAATTCCCCCACTTAGTGTTGGTTCATGTTGCAGCTCATAAAATAAAGGTACAGGTTGAACCTCTTTAGTCGGGTACCCTCTGGATCTGACCGGTGCCAAACCAGAGAATTTGCCAATATTGTCTAGCAGCATTACCAACAATGCCACTTCTTAGTAGGCTCTTAGAGGACATTGAGGGGTAAATTAGAGCTAAATAACAGCACAAAACACAGAGCCAGGACTCGTGGCTGTAAACAAACTTTACACAACCTCAGGAAACTTGGCCACACACATGATAAGTGGACATCCGCTAACCCAAGTCATGCCGGACCAGAGAGTTCTGGATTAGAGAGGTTCAACCTGTATTTCTAGGTTTACAGAAGCAACCTTCTGTCCTGGAGATCAGAATTCTATTGCTCCGTTCTACTCACAGCTGTCAACCATACATGACTGTCCTGTAGCCTCCAGGAATTAAAAGTTATTTTTGGAGTAGAGATTCTGTCATATGATGAAATCTTCGGGGACACATCTGACCAAAACTGGCAACTCTAGTCACTGGAGAGTCCAACTGCTTACTGAACTCTGTTGTGGCATAAACAGTCTGCTATTACAGTTAGAATAAACACAGACAAATAGGCACAAACCCATGAAGCTTGACACTGAAACATTGCCCTGGCTTTTGCATTAAGATTCAACCATAAGAGGGCTGGGGGATAGGAACCATGTTTGTTCAACTGTGAATGTGTTGGAATATCAGTGCCTGCGAAGCCAGGTGAATGCCATGTCACAAGCACACAAACTTGCAACTCTGTTTTAAAGTGTGTTAGGCAGGGTTTGCACAAGGCCAAATGCAAAGGTATGAAGTCTGAAAATTCACCCTGCTTTGTGGGATGCTGGGCTAAGTGGAGACGGGAAGTATCTTTTTTTGCACATCTTTTTGCACTTTCATAAGCAGCCAGTTTGCGGAGAAGAGCTGAGAGAGTTCTCACAGAAGCAGTTTTTCTACCTGTTACTGAGCTGTTGAGCAGACTGACAGCTTTGAGCTGAGAGATGGAGCTGACTTCATCCCCTCCAATTGCCAAGTCCTCAGAGAACTCTTATTAGATGCCAGAGAGTGGCAAGATGAAAAGTCCAACCAACGTCTGCTGTTTTTGGCTGGGTTTGGGAGCTTTGTTGGCTGGCTCCTCTGGCAATCTGGATGTTCTCTTCTTAGGACAGACAGGACCCATCTGTGTTTTATACACAACAAAGAGGAAATTTACAATGAGGAGGGACTTCTCAGCCACTGTTGGTCCAACTCTGGGGGGATCTTTGGCACATACATGGATCACAGCTGTTTGAGAGACATGGCCTAGGTTATTGGGGGGTTTTTTTACACCCCTGTGCCACCTCACTATTCTAGATCTGCCAACGTAGATTTCTGCTTTTTCATTTCTAGACTTGATCTGTGATGTTGGGTTCCTTTATTTATTTAAACAAACCCACGTTGGCAAACAACATTGGTTTTCAAAACGAAGCTACTCAAATTTAAACACAAATTAACCATTCAGAAACCTGACGCATTTGGTGAGTGGCAAACATAAGCATATGTTGTTGAACCTTCCTCACATCACCATGGGTGTAAACTGAAGACAGGGCACTATTACGATTCAGATGCTTTTGTTAGAATATATGTTTAATGGAGGAATTTCCGTCTCACCCTGTTTTTCTAACGTGACGTTGACTCCACACACCCCAACGGGTCAGTGGTTGGGTGGCATGAGGCAGAATTTGGTTTTGCAAGTACTGTGACTGTACAGAGGATTAATAAAAGCAGCGTGCATGTTTTTTCATCTGGTGCGAGACTACCTGTCTGTTTCTTACCTCTACTGCACGATACATGAGGAAGATGGAATCTGATGGCACTGATCTGTTGAGCAGGTAGCCCCAAAAAATATACAGCTTCCAAAGCAATGTTTACGATCTACTTCCCATTCAGGGACAACAGAGCGCACGCTGCCCTAGCGCATGTTGTGCCAGACTTGAACACAACCAGACATTATTTTACATGTATTCTGACAGAGGGTACTCGAACAATAGCTTCCCCGGGCCATGACGGCTGGTCATCCAAAAGACAAACATGGTACAGATACACCCCATGTGCTGGTGACAACAGGTAGGTTCTAGGTTGAGCGTGAGGAATGCCTAAGGCACCATGGATAACTTTTCTTTCCAACCGAGAAAAGGAATACAGAAGTAGCCCATATACCATAGTGTAATAAGCAAAGGCTGCTGTCTAGGTTTTATGGAAGCCACTGTGGACTGCCAGATCAGACCTCCTCCGAATATTAGCGTAGCCCATGTCACGTTCATTTTTCATGCTGGCGACAGCACATATTTCAAGCGTTTGATATTTTGAGGTCCTTTCAAGCACATCTAATAGTATTATTTCCCATTGTAGTCCTGCATAATAACCTCACAAGCAATTTTGATTGATTTCCCCTCGAATTGCAAAGACTTCTGCTATGAAATCACACATGACCAAGTCCAAACATGAAGTCTGTTTTTTAGAAATGCTTATTTTTTTTCTGAAAAAAAGCTGCTTATCAATATTAGAGACTCCTTCAATATCACTTACAAATACACTTTCATCGTGCAGCAATACAGGTATTAGAAGCTAGCACCAGCGAGCAAGCAATTTTAAAACAATGCCCCCCCATTCCCTTCCCCAGCAGGAAGCCGATGCAGAATCGATAGGACCCCTGGACGTTGGGAGAACTTCCAGGGACACTGCGGTGCTTCCCGCCACACTGATTTTCACCTCAGCTCAGTGCTCAATCGCACCTATTGAAATCAAGCACCTTATTCAGGTGTTCAGATCAGGTGTCTTATTTGGGAGCCTAAATGCAAGTGCCAGCGTGATGGGTCAGGCCCTCCTGGGGAGTGTTTCCTGATCTGCTGAGTCTGCTTCCCCTGGCTGCCTAGACAATCTGTTGTCCTGTTCTGTTGAGCCCAGCTCTCCAGGCTGCTTCCCATAAGACACCGGGACAGGGCCACACCCCAAAGGCGGCAGACAGATTGGCAGAGGCCCTGGATGTTTTTCGCCTTCCTCTGTAGCATGGGGCACAGATCACAGCTGGAGGATTCTCTGCATCTTGGGGTCCTTAAACCATTTGAGGGCTTCAATATCTGAGATACAGGGGAGAGGATTATTCCAGGAGGGGGTGGGTGAGATTCTGTGGCCTGCGTTGTGCAGGGGGTCAGACTAGATGATCATAACGGTCCCTTCTGACCATAAAGTCTATGAGTCTATGAGAGACACACTGAAAGAAGAGGCATGTGGGACCCCTTCTCAGTACTCAAGAACACAGCC